GCCAAAGAGAGAGCTACTTCATGTATCTTAACACCTACATGCCTTTCTGAGCTCTGGACCTTACTTCCTCTCTCCTCCAAGCTGCATCACTTCCTCTTTCTGCCTAGCTCTATCACTTCCTATCTGTTGGAACAGACCTCCAGGCCTCTTTGATTTACTAACCCTGGGATAAAAAGGCATGAGCCACCACACATGTCTCTGTTACCACTGTGGATGGAATTCACAGAGATCCAGATGATTCTCTGCCTTCTGAATGCTACGATTAAAGGGGTGTGCTACCACTGCCTGAGCTCTATGTTTAATATTTTGGCTGACTTTTTCCTCTGATCCTCAGATAAGCTTTATTGAATTGCACAAATAAAATATCACCATACAGTTCTAAGTAGGCTGATCAACTCTGGTACCATCAGTGCACAGATCCAGAGCTTTGAGTCCATCAACCCCAACAATTGCTCCATCTACAAGTTGCTGGAGCACATGGAGGAGCTGGTCTTGCAGAACCAGTTGTCAACTCTAAATAGTTCAGGTCCTAGATGCACCTGTCAGACACTGACTTGGGGCTGATGTGCTGTGGCCGCTCTGCTTGAACGGCTGGGAGACACATCTGGTAATGTTATGGGGTGGGACAGGACAGTGGCACTTCCTATGGTCTACACGATAAAGGTGAGCCTGGCAAGCCTTGGGGAGGCCAAGATCAAGGAAAGAGAGGTGGCTGCAAGCCTGAAATTCACAAGGAACTTTCCACTCACCACTCCCTACCTCAAGACCTACCTAATCAAAATCTACCCTGACTATAGGCAACAACAGGATATCTGAGATGAGTCCCAATCTTGGTTAAGTATTTATGGTCCAAAAGAAAATAGAAATTGCCAGATGGTGGAGGCTCTGGGCTTTAATCCTAGCATTCTCAAGGCAGAGGCAGGCAGATCTCTGTGAAGTTCAAGGCCAACTTGGTTTCTAAACGAAGGTTTAGGATAACCAGAGCTGTTACTAAGAGAAAGGCCCCACCCCCTCTCTCTTAAAAATGACAACAACAAATAAACTAGACAATGATTAATTGCATTGAATATTTGCATGTAAAGTTGATTGAGCACAACAATATACTATGTGACACACTGCTGTATTCCAATGTACTTAGGCCTGAGAGAAGCTGAAAAATTCACATCTCAAAATAAATCAGAAAGCTGAGAGAGCTAATGGAGAAGGCTAGGCTAGTTAATTTCCTTAATCTCAAGGACAATCCCAGTGATGGAGTTCTACCACTGTGATGGATATTTTTGGTTGTCAACTTGACTGGACTGCATCTGGAATCAACTACAACCCAGAAATGGAGGGCACATCTGTGAGTGATTATTTTTTTGCTTGATTTGTTCTGGATCAAGAGCAGGGAACCACC